AAAAGCGAGTATATTTTTTTAACTCGCAATAAGTTTTCTTATCTCAATACTTAACAAAGACTTCGTATCAAGGATATCTATAAAACTTGAATTTTTCTAATTCATTATCTTTACCCCAATAGATCATGCAGCCTTTCTCACTATAATGTATTTTTTTCATTGATAAACCCATCATCTTAACCAGTTTCTTTATTTCATAAAAGTTACCTATATATAATTATCAATAGGTATCAATTCCTTCATCAACTCACATAACTAGTCGTAACATTTTTTTTAAAAATGATACTTCGATTTTAGATTTAACAATTGGATAATAGTTGATAAAAGTTAGTGATTATCACAATCGATCCAAATCTCTTTACATAATACATCCAATATATCATAAAAGGCTTGAGCGTCGAGATTTGGCACCTCCTCATCCGTGTCACAAGGATCAAAGGATGGATTGATCGCATCTATCACCATTGTTTGATATAGATTTTAAAGTTCACTAGAACTACCTTCACTTACATGATAATTTCTAGTAACTAAATCATGCCTAGAACTACAAGATGTCATATAGTCCTCAAATTCTCCATGATGTATCCCGGCATAAATCCCTTATGCCATAAAATGATATTTAACCATTTCAATCTCCTCAAAATTTTTGTTTCAACACTTATTATGATTACAAGGACACCTTATTTTCGTTTTTTCGATACATTCCGGATGATTTATAGCAAATGCAATAAATTGTTCAACCCCATTGACAAACTCATCATTTAACTATCCATCAACTAACCAAGCGTACATCCATTACCGTTTGGATCTCATTTTCTTAAATTTCCGTAAAAAATTAAACAACACATGCAAAGAATTCTTGATCAACATTCATATAATTAAATTAGATGTTTCTCAATTTTTTAATTACTTAATTAATAATTTTTTTAAATATCCGATAAAATTTCGACGGAATCTCCCCCGTAAATTGAAGATTTCTCTAATAAAAAATAATCCAACTAATCACGTAAACATTACACACACCGAGACCAACAATTGTCTCGAATACTCCATCAAAATTAAATTCCCAACTCATCCTCTCGGCTCTAGCTTAGAGCATTGAACCAACCTTATTTCTCTCTAATTTTCTAGGGTCTCGAACCCCTCGAGTTCGATACACTATGGTATACCTTGACACACTTCAACAATCATAAATTATATAATTAAATTATATAAATCCAATTGAAAATAAAATTGAAATAAATTTAGTTTTCTATCTTTTTATATGGTCTAGACAATACTTGTCTAATCTTGAAGTCATTTCAAGTTTCTAGATTGTCTAAATTATCAAATGGGGAATTCAACCTATAACCTCATACACCGGGAGGTAAGAAAAGGTTATTCCACTATTTCTTATGCATAAGGTGAGTTTCAGTCCAAACGAGAGTCCGAAAGAACATTAGTAGACTTTTGTCATACTTGCCTCCAGCATCTCTCTATCTAAATCATAATACGGTTTTAGCTCGGGTCCAGTAGCTTTTGAAGGTTTCCTTGTGATGTGTGTAATAATTTAAAGTAAATATCCAACCCGATTCAAAATTAAATATGTACATGAATGCAAGAAAAATAAATCGCATAAAGTTAAAAATCCTTTTAAAATTATTTTTTAAGTTTTTTGGTTATCTTTAATATAATTTAACCTTTTACCTTAATTCTTTTAATACTAATTCAAATTAACATTAATTACTCAATATTAACATACTTATTCATTTAATACATTATTAATCAAATTAACTTAATTAACTATAATTTAAATTTAATTTAACTTAAAAAATTCATCATAATTAAATTAACCTAATTAATTAACTCATTTGTGATTTATATTAATCCCAATTGATAATAACCAATCCATATTAACACTAATTTATTAGGATTAATTATTTTAATTAACTTAAAAATTCTAAAAATTAACATAACCCTAATTTAAATAAACCTAAGTAATCAACTAATAAATAATTTAAATTAACCCTAATTAATCCTAAATTTAACCGAATTAACCTAAATTAAAACCTAATTTAACTTACAAAAATTCACTCTAATTAAATTAACCTAATTAATCAACTCATAACCAATTTTTATTAAACCTAATTGAAAATAACATAACTATATTAACACTAATTTATGAGCATTAATTATTTTAATTAACATAAAAATCCTAAAAATTAACATAATTATTATAAACCTAATTTAAATAAACTTAATTAATCAACTAACAACTTATCAAAATTAATCATAATTAACCTTATATTTAACCTAATTAATCCCAATTTAACCCTAATTAACCCAAATTTAAATTCAATTTAACTTAAAAAAATCCATCCTAATTAAATTAACATAATTAATCAACTCATAACTAATTTATATGAAACCTAATTAGGAATAACCTAACTATATTAACACTAATTTATGAGGATTAATTATTTTAATTAACATAAAAATCCTAAAAATTAACATAATTATTATATTACCTAATTTAAATAAACCTAATTAATCAACTAACAACTAATTAATAGTCATCATAATTAATCCTATATTTATCCTAATTGACCCGAATTTAAATTCAATTTGACTTAAAAAAATTCATCCTAATTAAATTAACTTAATTAATCAACTCACAACTAATTTATATTAAACCTAATTGAAAAATAATCTAACTAGTTATATTAACACAATTTAATGTGGATTAATTATTTTAATTAACATAAAAGTAATAAAAAGAAAAAGAAACAACTAATTAACTAATTAATCAAAACTAAACTAACAATTAATATAAATAGGTAATGTAATTGAAAAAAAAATTGAGAGAGAATTAACAATAGGGGAGGAAAACTGACGGATTTAATGAGAGAAACACTTTTTTTTTTTGGGGGGGGGAGTTTTTTAGGGCGGGGGGAAGAGAAGAGCATCGCGATGGTTAGAGGCTAGGGAGGAAATTGCATCATCTTGGGTGATCAAATCGGGTCTAGGCACTCGTTGACTCGTAAGAGGAGGGGAGGAGGCGAGGGAAAGAGAGAAAAGAAAAATGGGAAAGAAGAGAGATTCCGCCCAATTTAGGAATTTAAATTTAGCGATGGATACAATTCCGTCGCTAATCCCTCGCTATTTGGAGAGGAAAGAAAGTGTTCGTCACTAATTACTTGATGGAGCAATCGTTTCATCTTTTGTTATGTTAAAAAAAAAAAAGTGAAATTATGAGTTAGTGATGGAAAACAAAATTCCATCGCAATTCATCGACGGATTTTATTTTCCATCGCTATTCCTCTCGTTTTATTTTTGAAATCATTTCGTAAATTTGGTTTGGGTACACATTAGCAATGGAAAGCAAATTCCATCTCTAATCCTTCGGTAATTAGCAATGAAAATCAAAGTCCGTCGCTAATTACGTCGTTTTATTTTCTCGGTAATTTTTTATTTAATCAAATTGTGTTTTAGCGACGGAATATAAATTCACTCGTTAATTTTCGTTTTTAAACCATTGTTGTTCCATCGTTAATTTCGTTTAGTCGCAAATTAGAGATCAAAATTAATCCGACACTAAAATGTCATTGTTATTTAATCTCAAATCCATATCAAAATAATTTTATTGGTATTGCGTCGCAAATCCATCACAAATTAGAAATGAACTATGTTCCATTGCTAATATTGGTCGCTAAATAACGGATTTCTTGTAATGGATGGTTTTTTATCTTCCCTTCGTGTGTCAAGTCTCTTTCTTTTATATTCGTCGTTGGGTCTGTCTTGCGTTGTCTTGCATGGAGATGAATAATTTGTCTTTTCTTTTCGTAAAAATGGTCTTTTTTTTCTCTCATGATGATGGTCTAAATTCATTTTGTCTTCTGATCAATATGATCATCTTTCTAGAAAAATGTTCTCCTCCAGTGTATAAATCGTGTTGAATGATTTTTATTTAGAGTAGAGCTACATGACATGAATGGTGTCAAAAAAAATCATCATAATTTTACAAGGATAGTGTTTTCTTAGAGGAATAGAAGAAATGATACTTTATTTCAATGGATATTATGTCATTTAACATTTTCACTTTTTAAATTTATTCTTAAACTCTTTCTATTTTTAAAAATGATGGATGTTATCATGATGTCATAAAGCATTTTCCTTTTATTTATGGATAGTCTTGTCAGTACTCTTTCATGATGCTCAAGGTCGGAGATCACTATTACGAGAGAATGGACAGACCCGGTTGGTGGGTTCCCATTTTTGTTCGAAGTTCTACTGGATCTCCGTGGTGGTAGAAAAAACACCTACTTTGGATGTACTCGTAGCGGGAGTGTTTTATTCCACGCATATCAATATGATTGACATAGCAATTCTAAATAATTTTCACAATAGTTTCCAACGGTAAACACCCATTGAAAAATTTTAACAGACAAGTTACGATTCCTCAAATTTGTAAATGTCAAGCCAACTTGAAACACAAGCTGTGCAAACGTGGAACTCAACTAGTTGGGTTCATAAATGCAAAGTCTAGCAATTTTTAGCATCTATTCATTGGGGCAAGAAGTTCAGCAGTACGTCCAATAGCTCATTGGAACTCATTGTATCCTCTGGAACTTTTACAAGGAAACGCTATTGCAAGAATGGCGGCTAAACCTGTCCAAGGTCTCCGGGTTACCAGATAGTGAAACCATGGGGTCAATTACCTATGAGAAACTTATTAATCAATTATAAATATATTATTGTAATACCATTAATGAGTCAGCAAAGTTTGTGCGAGAGAGAAGATGTCTTAGATTCAAAACCCACAGCTTGTAAATTCCTTTTTTTTTTTCCCCCTATTAGCAGTTCAAGATTTTAAGTTCTTCCCTCAAGTTAAAGCAGGTTTTTTTTGGAAAAAAAAAACCTTTAACCCCATCAGATTTGACGAGCTAATCTAGGTCGTCTACCCCGTACCAGACCAGGTCAGATCAATGCCCTGGACGGTTTAACTACAAACCTGGCCAAGTCTAGTTCTGGGTTTCAGTCCAACCAGCCTGGTCAGGTTTAACAACAGTGCTCCCAAGGGATTGCATTCTACCTTCTCCCATTAAACAACCTGACTGAGACAGGTCGAAACTGCATAATTGTAGGTAGAAACTACTATAAAGAAAGCACTGGGTTTACCTGAGGCTATGCGAAGGCCATCTTTCTTTCAACTTGAAAACAAAGCGTTGCATGCCCAAGCACCACACCTAAACTCCTAATACCAAATTTGCAGGTAAAACTAATATGGTAGGAGCTCAATAATATGACTCAAAAGAAAATGACTGGTGTATTTCTTGATACTAGCAGGCAGCAGACTTATTTCACGTACATCTGAGGATATTGGATCATGCTATTGACTTATAGCTAAAGAAACACGGTAACGTACCTGTGCTTTGCTCCAGAACACTGAATAATGATACAATTAAAATGCCAGAAGCAGCACCATGAAAGAATAGCTACAAATTAATTTTTAGGTGAAAACTAAAATTCCCTTATCAATATAATTAGAACCGTCTTTGCTTAGGGAATTATGCATTTCACAGAGATGGTTGCACCTCGGTTTGGGTACCCACAATAATCCATTCCACAAGGTGCTTTCCAGACAGTCGCACATCGCAAAGTAAAATCTTCACTGACTGGCACCACGAGCTTGCAACCTCTTCCTCTCCAACTCAAGCTGTAGAAGGACGTGTAAGCAAATTATTGTAACGCAGTCAAATTTATAGAAATCAATTAAAATTTTGCATCCTGATCAGTGTCTTACCACTTTCTTCACCCTGTCATTAGCAGCAGGAGTTCCTCCACTGACACATTCGGGTAGGTATGGACTACTAACACGAACTTCATTCATCACAACTATGGATGTTTTGTCCCAGACAACTGGAAGCCTAGTTATATGCATTGAAACCAGTAGGAAATTTAGTGACTTATTAGTGATCTAATTATACTTAAAATAAGAATATAAAATACTGCAAATTGAGAAAAATTCATAGCCCACTTAAAATGACACATCAAGACCTTTTGAAGAACCTCTCAGACGCTTATTCAATCAAGAACACATGCATAAAAAAAAAAAGGACAAAAAAATCAGCTTATTTGTCCTTGCTCGCAAGATTGTGGAAGTCAAACAGTAGTTTACAAGTGAACAGAAAATTTTAGCATTTATATGTTGTTAATGAAATCCAAAACACATTTAAGTCAATCAAGGAGATACGTATTGAAACAGAATAAGCTGTTTGGAGTGAGAAATTGCAACTAAAATTGGCTGTAATTCATTAATGGCTCTCCAAAATGCTGACTCATATATCCAGGAATGGTTCATTCCTGACATCACAGGATCCAAATCCATATCATTAAACACCACAAGTTCATATGACAAATTAGACCCCAACAGTGTAAACAAATAAATCAATCGAGAGAAAATAGCAGCTAGCATAGGTCATTGTTGATTAATAACTCATCAGAATATAGATTCATAATTCGAGCATGGTTCACCATTACTCAAACCAGTGGCTCCATAGGAGAGCTTATCCGACTAGTTAGCACTCCTCCATGTTATTCTATACAGAAGAATTTTTTGGATAAAAAAGAAATCTGTTAGTGAAGGAAATGAATTCAATTCAAACAAGGAGAATCATTTGATACAGCAGATCCAACAACTAGAAATGAAACTAGCAGTCAATGACTATCTGTGGGAGGAGAATTCACACCAATATTATGCAGACCGCCTTTTCTCTCTCTAATCACCCTCTGAACTCCCACGTTATACCAATACAAGCCCTAAGTTAAGCATATTTTCAAATTCATGTCTTCTAGTTAAACTACTCAAACCAAACCCTAAATCACTTTTTAGCAGCTGTCCCAGAAATCTTGCACCTTGATCTCTCTCAAAGAATCTATCATTTGTTCCCAAACTTAGTTATCCTTCAACCAGTGTTCAGACCCTAAGCAACTCACACATTTTGCATCAGTTTGAAGCCCCGTATATAACAAATCCCAACCAATTCCAAAATGCACGAAGCATATTAACTCATCAATAAGCAAAATAACCAACTTCATTCAATGCTGAATCAATCTTATCTTATCACTTCTTCAATTCATTTACGCTATCTGTGCAAACCTCATCTAATAGCATTTTCTGTTTCATATTGTCATCAAAACCCTTGCTCAGCTCCAGCCTAGGTCATGCGGCATAGGACCGTAGACCATATCTCCTTCACTCAACAACCAAATATCAGCAAAATAGCACAATTTCTAACCTTTCAAGTCCCTAAATAGGCACTTCATTTCTCACCCTCTAATATTGCCTTCTCTAAATCAAATAAATAAATTCCACTAAAAACTCTAAGTGCATCAATATTGACAATGTTGTCAAAGCCCAGTACATTAATGTTTCATCAATAATGTATCTATCGCAGTTTCAGAAAGCAAGAGTATACAAAAGTCATAGAAGAGCATTGCAAGAAAAACAGGTTTCTCAATTTACATAAACTCGATGGTATGAATTGCAGGACAAGGATAGCTTGGATTAAGACTATTTATGATATTCTCCTGAAATAAAAATGATAAAGCAAGAAGCTTTCTCTCCATGTTACAATAACATATCGTATCATCATAATGCCAAAGGAAAATTCTTCCAGAGACTATAATATATATAAACTCTTGCATTATAGGTTAGTAAAACTCGAAACTCATCCCACTTTTTAATGATTTGGGTGTGCTAAATTATGTGAATTCAATGAACAAACAAAAATTTAGAAACAAAATACACTTGCTAGCAACAAGATATAACACCACATGAGCAAGAATAAGGGCACATACGTCTTAGACAAGGCATCAAAAATGCTTTGTGCCTCAGCAGTAACACCCACTCCAATCCTCTCAGCATCTGCTTCTGCTTGCCTGCAAATCCAGTCCAATCAAAACTTTAGAAAAAAACTTGAAATAAGACAAAAAAAAATCCCAGATGGGTTACAATGAAAATAACCTTAAAGCCAATTCCTCCTTGGCTTGAAGACTATGGAGATCAATATAACACTTCTTGATGTCAAGTGGGTCCTCAGCTTGACCCAGAAAAGAAAACTCCTTTATATAATTTGCTTTCAAAAACCTTATGTTTCTCTTCGGCCCATGTTTCGATCCCTCTTGTGAAAGAAAAGAGTTAAGAAATCACAAACTAAAAAGCACAAAAGTATTGATGTCTTAAAGTAAAAAAGAAAGATTAAAGTGAAGGATATGAAGAACGAGGATGTTGGAAGGGCGGTCAAAGGTGATGACTTGTCCATCAAATTCTTCGCCTAATGTAGTTTTGATAGAGAGCAAGCAACCCACCGCAAATTCTTCGCTGTTGTTGTGGCTGCTGTTGATGTTGCTGCCTTCCATGGCCATGGCTGCTGTCTATTGTTTCTGCTCTAGATTGAGCTTGATTTTACTCAGCTTTTCTTCCTTTTGTTTCGGTTTTTTTTTTTTTTTTTTTTTTTTGGAGAGCTAGATTTTGTGGGTTAATTTGGGTTTCTACGGCCTGCCAACTCATTTTACTATTTGGGCTAGGCTGTACAGTACATGTCTGTTTGACGGAAAACAACTTTCACAGAAAAATCAATTCTTGAAGAAGTTATTTTTTAAAAAAATATTTTTAGAAAAATATTTTTTTCGGTTGGAAATTATATGAAAAAATTACTGAAAATTTTATTTCAACATTTGTTTGATACAGAAAATTAAAATACAAAAACAATATGTGATTGGTACATCAATAAGATTTGAAAAAACTTCAAAAAAAAACATATTCATAATTTCACAATATAAGATATATTTAAAAAATTTTAATAAATTTTCATAAATACTGACTCTAAAATTTTAATTCAAAAAAATAAAATATACGTTTTTAACCATCAAACCAATTCATTAAAATTGCTTGGGACAAAATCAAGTCAATATTTACATTTAGTAAAAAAAAAAAAAATTCTAAGTAATCCTTGCATTCTTATTTTGATAACTCAATTAAGAATATTTTTTTTTTAGAAATTGAACTGATAATTTAGTCTAAAAAATAATTTTATAAATTATTAGTTATCATTTGTAAATAATTATTCATTTGGTTTCAAAAAAATTAATGTTGGAATAATTTGTAACTAATTATTCATTAAAATTACCAATAAAATTTTACAACTGATTAAAATGAAAAATTATTAATTTAGTTGCAAATGAATAATGTTAGAAAAATAATGTGTTTATTAATAAATTAATTAATTTTAATTTTTTAATAAAAAATTACGTTCTTATAATAATCATTTTCAATCATTTAAGTATAGTGTAAGTAGTGTTTAAGATAATAGTAAAATAATAAAGATAAATTATTGAAATATTTATTATAAAAATAATTTTTTGGTGTAAAAATGGTTTTTAAAAAATATTTAATGTATCTATAAATCAAAAAATAAAATATTAGTAGAAATAGAGAAAAAAATTAAATAATAAATAATAATTGATAAGGAATAATTAAAAATTAATTTGATATATTTTAAATAAAAAGAAGGTAAAAAATTGTTAAAATATATCGAGAGAGAGATAAGTAATGCGAGAGCGAGACGACTCGTGAGAAAAAAAATAATTTTCTTTTTTTAAACTGAAAAAATATTTTTCTAAAAATGCTCTATTATTTTTTGTTGATTGGAAATCCTGAAACTTGTTTTCTCCCAAATAAACACAGCCTTAATTTTATTTTTAGTGATAATAGTGTGTACTTTATAATTTTATTTTATCATAATAAATAATATGCCTTAAATTGGTATTAAATATGGATCCACTTAAATATCTATTAAATTCTTTATTTTTCAAACCTTGATTTACATTATTTCTTCATTAATATTTTTTTCCATTTTTCACTTTGTATCTTTTTTCATCAAGATTTTTTTTATTTAGTAATATTTTTTGATAAGCTCCAAATCTCCTTGCATCAAAAACATATTTTGAGCTCTCTTTTCCTTTGTTTTTTCATAAATCGTATTTGTCATTTTTTACTAGCGTTCCTTTGTGTTTTTTCCTTTTATCATTTTATGATTATGCAAAGTAACTAATTTGTGAAAAAAAAAAAAATTACTTAACCTCCAAGTAATAGTGGCTTGAGATTTTAGAAGGTTTTTTCGGCCTAACTTTTGGTTCAGGCTATCGTAACTATTTAGAGCGCCTCTTTTTTTTTTTTTTTTTTTTCGAAGCTAGAAACCTGGCAAATGATGCAGTCCATTGGTCATATAAGGTCCAGTTATAATTATAGGCCGTAATTGGGTTAAGAGAGTAATAGCAGTCCATTAGTGGCAGCCATATATTGAGTCTTCTTAGTGGATACTAGTTAGTTCTAGAACATCTAACGTTGTGGATAGAGTGAAAAGCTAATAAAAGAAAAAAAAGTATTGAGGAAAGAAGATTTTAATCTGTTTGGTTTTTAAAGAAAACTTATAGAATAAATAATAATAATAAAAAAAAATTTAAAAATAATGAGATCCATTTTCCTTTTAAAATTGAAAAGACAGGTGAGAGAAAATCGATCAAAATATAATAAAAAATAGAGAATAGAGAGTATTATCATTTTTGTTCTTCATCTTCTATATTTTATTTAAATATAGAAATATAATAATAGGGATATTATAATAAATATTTAATAATATATTTTTTTTACTCTTTGTTTCTATAATTATCCAAACAAAAAATATATATTTTCTTTCCTTTCATTTTTACTCTCATTCAAACAATAAATGGAAATATTTCTCTTTTCTCTTACTTTTCTTTCTTTTTATTTTCTTTTCTCTCTTTTCTTTTCTCCCAAAAGAAAATATCCAAACACAATGTAAAATTAATTTAAAAAATCATTTTAATTTATTAGCATGTGCTATATCATGGTTTTATAAAATATATTAAAGTAGAATTAAAAAATATTAATTTTTAATATTTTAATTAAATTTTTATATTAAATTTATTTTTTAATGTTTTTCATAAATTTTTTAATTAACAAAACATGATTTATTCATATTTATACATTGATTTTTTAAATAAAAATTTATAATAATTTAAATAAAAATTTTAAAAATATCTTAATATTTTTCTCATAATATTATATCAAAAAATAAAGTATCGATTTGTATAAAAACCTTTATAAAAATTAATAGACGAATTTTTTTCTTAATTGATAAGAAGATTATTTTAAAAACGGTACAAATATTGAATAAAAAAAATAGCACAGAGCAAGTGAAAGTGCCCCCATAGATTAATGAGTTGGAAAAAGCAAAAAAACAAAACAAAACAAAACAAAACAAAACAAAATCACATAGATTAATGATTTGCCGGGCCCCCAAGTCAGGCAACCATCTACATCAAATGCTTCAATCGATGCAAAATGGAGGCAAGGAAAAAAAAAAAAAAACACAATCCTTGCAGCACTGTCATCATGCAGAATTAAATGCTGTAGGGAAAAAAAAACTTGTCGAAAGGATCAAAAAAGACAGGAGGGAAAGGAAACAAACGGAGGGGCAACTAAGTAACATAATATTACAATAAATGGCATAAAAAAAAACATCAAAACATAAAGGCACAAAAAAACCAACTTGTCTACACAAATTCTAAAAAGAAGAGCAAATAAAAAATAACATTTTAAAACATGTTAGGAGGAATGAAAAAATTATAAATTAGGTCTTTTTATTTAAAAAAATGAATTAATTTTTTTAAAAAAATTAATTAATCTAGTTCTTATGTTTTGTAATTTAATTTTTTATTTTTTATTTATTTTGTTTTAAAAAAAATATATATAGAAAATTTGATAAAAATATTTATATAATAAAAAAAATATTAAATTAAATACGATCAACTCTTATTAAAAGATTAAATGATATTTTTAAAAAAATTATTTATTTATTTCTTGATACTAGAAAAACTTATTTATGATTTACTCTAGAAGAAACTAATTAGATACTCACGCTACACTGAGATCAAACAATCATTACATACGAATCTATATATTGAGCGAATCAATTAATTTATGTATATATTCATTAACAAAATATTTAATAATATTAGCATAAAAATTTATATTTGAATAATTATAAAGTTTTTTCAAAACATTATCTAACTTGTTTTATTTTAAAAACAAAATTAGAATATGAAAAAATAAATAACAAATAATTGGTATTATGTGTGTAGATATATAATTGATTTTTAATAAAACTAATTTTGTGTGTGTGTGTGTATCTTACTTAACATATTCAAAGTATATATAATAAATAGAAAAAAAAAACCACCAAAATTGTATGAAATATAACGAAGTCAATAGATTAAAATAAAAACTACAAAAAAAATGGTTTTGATAAATTCTGAATAAGTATATATAAAAAAGCATAGCATATATAATAAATAGAAAAATATACGAAAAAAATCAATCACAATTGTATGAAATACACTGAAGTCAATAGATTAAAATAAAAAACTACAACAAAATTGGTTTTGCTAAATTTCAAAATATTTTTATTTTCTTTTATACATACATATATATAAAAGCAAATAAAACTTGTGATTTTTTAATTGATTATTATGAAAAAACAAAAGAGTCAATCTATCTAAAACATACCTCTCTCTCTCTCTCTCTCTCTCTCTATGTATACATATATAATCAGAATTTATAAATTATAATAATATATTTTCAAAAATAAAACACTCATTTAAAAACATAAAATAATTTATTGTATAAATTATAATAATATATTTTTTAAAAATAAAACATCAACGTTCTAAAATTTTATTCCAAATTTATATATTAAAAAATCAAATTTATTAACAAATAGAATTATATCAAAAAATTATTTTGATGAGAATTTTAATAAGAAACAAATAATTGAAGAAATAAATTTTAAACAATAAGAGTAATATAATTTGATATATATGTTCAAACTAAAATCTTTAAAAATATCATATATATTTTATTATCCTCAAACTGTACGTAAAACTTTAAAAAATAACGATTTATTATATATATATATATATATATGAAGAAAAAAATAAACAAAAAAAGAAGAAAAGAGGTCAAACCACCGTAACCCCAGTAAAAACCTTTATCCAGTAACGCGACATGTATTAGAATAATTCTATATATGTGTATATTAAGAGTAAGTATAATTATCATTTCATCATGAGAAATTAATGCTTGAAATATGTGATTTATGTTAAATTAAAGTTATTGTGCTTAAGATTAATGGTTTAATTATTAAAGAAATCAAATATGCAAAATCGGTGTTTTAAGGACTATATTCTTCTTGAGTTTTGTGTGAATTATTTGAGGACTTTAGGGTAATTTTTTGGTCAACCTTAAAGAATGAAAGTTGTTCATCTATGTGTTGAATAGATCT